GTCAATGTCAATACTGTCATTCCATCTATTTTAATAAAATTAAGATTATTTTATTTGTGATTGTTTAAAAAATGTGTTTAATTGAGAACTGCAACTTTAATAAATTGGAAGGATGTGTGTTAATGTAATTATTGTTCTAGAAAAACTTTTAAGGCAAGGTAAATAAATAAAATATTTTAAGGTTATATTTTGTTTATTTACTTTATAATAAAGCAGTAATAAAGTTTTACGACTATAATTTGTTTTATATTTTGTTTCAGTATCTAGACCATCCAAAGACAACTTCAAAATGGTCTATTTTGTACACAATTGTAAATACTATGAAGTAAGAAGTAAACAAAAAATCTGTAAATTTTTTCCCACAAAATCTGCTAAAAGGAAAAATTTAATTATTCTGATGAGGTAACTATTTAACATCATTATGGAAATGTACAATAAAAATTTGATTAAGATAAAGAGACAAATGGTTTTCACTTTAAAAGTCTAAATCAGAAGAATGGATCAGCCAATTAATTTAATATACTCGATGAGAAATTTTACCTAAGAAATGGTATGTTCATTTAAATAGTTTACCTATATAAAGTTATGTTTACAATTATCAATTGTGTTACCCTCTAACCAAGGTCGTTTGTTACATACAAACTAGAAATATTTTATTTTAATAATATTTTTTTATTGCCTTGTTTGTATAATTTAGTATTTTCAAAAATATTAAATGTTATGGTAATTAGAATCACTACAGGTATTAAATAAAAATAAGGGTGTTGGTAAAGTAGTTTACAGTTGGTACTAAAGAATGTCTCGAAAAAAGTCTCTAAATAAGTATCAAACGTAAATTGTGATTTTGATTAGGCATTTAACAAGTCACATCCCACATCTACATGCTCTGGCTAATCAATCCTATAAGTACATATCAAAACATTAATATACTATCTATAACTAAACAATAATTTAAAAATACAGATGAAGCCGATTTACCTATTTAAACAAAATTGTTATTATTCTATTATTTATTAAAACACATTATTTTTTAGTAAACTTGGACATGCAAAAGCAGCCATGAGGGTAGGACATTAGTGAAAGCAAGAATACTTTGGAATGTTCTGTGAAATACACTTAGAAAGTGTCATATGGAGAATTAAGTGTGATAACATTTTACGATATGCATCTCACTAGTTTAGTTCATAGATTTCTGTGTTCAATTATGTGCTACTATTTCAAACTTTTAGTATCCTTTGATAAAAGAAGTTGAATATTATTGTTGACCTTTTTAAATTGTTTATTTTACCTCATACATTTTTTTTCTACTCTTCATACAGTATTCTGTGAAGAGTATTATAGGTTTATTTTGTCTGTCTGTCCGATGTCAGGTTTTTTGTCTACACGATAAGTCAAAAACGAGAAATGAAATCAACTTGAAAATTTTAAGCAAAAATCAAGCTCTATAAGAGAACAAAGCTTATTGATTTTTAACAAATCTGATTAAAAATAGGGGTTAAGATGGGTTGAAATTAAAAAATCCTAAATTAAAAACGAAAAGCGATATCAACATGAAATTTTTAGTAAAAATTAAGCTTTATAAGAAGATAAAGCCTATTGATACTCAAAAAAATATGAATATATGGGGGAATTAAGGGGGGTTAAAATATAAAAAAAAATCCTAACTGAAAAATGATATAAACTTGAAATGTTTAGCAAACATCAATCTCTAAAAGCAGATGTGAAAACAATCTGGTTGAAAATGGGGGTTAAGGGGGTCTGTTAAAGTACGAAGAGTATCCTCTAGAATGCCAGGCATTATATATCTTTATTCTAGTTTGTGTCTGTGTAATATGTATTGTGATGGGACCGGATGGGACTGATCTTATAAAATAAACATTTAAAACATTTTAGTTCTTATTTTATTTGCCAATAAAAGGTATTTAAAAAATATATTTTTTATTTGACATCTGTGACAAATTGTGAAAATGATTAAACTTACAATAAAAACTAAAAAATGGTAGGTAAAGTTTCATATAAAATTTTTTACACAAAAATCAATGTAAAGTTTCTACATTACCTGATATATATTTAAAAATAATCTCAAATTATGAGGAAAAGTCAGTTTACTAACTAATAATGTTTAGATTGTTTTCAACGTATTAAAAAAAAAAAACAAATATTACACTAACTAAAATATTCATTTATTAATAGTTGTAATGCTTGAAAACAGTATGATGTTGATAATAATAATTACACTTAATACAAACTCAGATAATAAAAAAACAGTGATATTGACTCTTGTACAAGGTTTTGATCCGAACTTACACATGATAAAATTATTGGAAAAAGTGAACACCCATTTCAAATTAATTTGTCGCTACCTTATCTGAAACCTTAGTTAATTATAATATCTGAATGGTTAGTGATTTTCTATATTTTTATCATTAATCGACAGTCAAGTTTAGTAAGTTTTAAATATAGTGGCGCTCAACATTCTTTTTCAAAGTAATACGAGTTGTTTAATAACCTGACCCACTCCCCAAAATCATAAGAGCTTAAAACACTATAAAAATAGATAAAATAACAAGATCACGTTTCATATTTTAATTAAACTCATTTTATTGTCAGAATACAACCGGCGATTGCCGCTTATGGCCAACTCATACATTTGAAAATATAAATTAAGAGCTAACACTATGGTACCCTATTTTAGCCTTACCGATCTTAATACCTGTATTCTAATTAAGGTAAAACTGCAAAAACTGAAAGTCCTTGCTAACGCATGTACTTCTTAAATAATGTGACGAAAGTCTAATTTATTTTTAGTTCATTTAAAAACACACTATTTACAATTTATTTCAGACGTACTATTTAATTTATATAATACTTAGACACTAACTAACAATTCTAATTTATTTATTACACTTTTCAATACAATGTTCTATATTAAACTTTCTATAATCCACTAAACTGGGCGCTGATACGTCGGTATTTATATTAGTCCAACTCCGCTACTGGAGGACGCTAGAGGCTCTCGAACATTCCAATTCTATGACTAAACGGCACTCCCAGCCGTTCCAACTGTTTCTAGTGCATCAGCGGCAGGCGTTCCGTCGTTTCTTGTATATTCAAGACGCGGTCCGATTGTTTTCACACGTCAGCGTTGCTTTGATCACGAGTCGGTTGCCAAGTGAAGGTCGCGCGCGTACACAGGGTCGGATTAGAAATTTCATGATAATAATTTTTTTATTAGTTTTTATTTTGAAAAGCTTCTTTCAGCGGAGGCTGCATGATATTAACACCAGTGGCGGCTCGTGAGGTAGTGCCACTGTGCCATGGCACTACCTTATTTTTGATGCAAAAATATATTTTTATTTTTAAAACGTCTTATCATATTTTTATTTTATGCATTTCTTTTTACATTAAAAAATTATTTGAAATGTGTTAACCTCGCGCTGCTTAATTCTCAGAGCAACCGGAGCCATTTCTCAGCTACTAGGGAAAAGAGAGATTTTACTAGCAGTCTATGTGGGCAACAGAGATGGGAACATTTTACATGTATTTAAATGGTAAAATCAAGGAATATTCTTGCCAGGCACAACGCCGATAGCGGTTCAGATAATCGCGGTTTCTCGATGATGTCGATTGTTGACTGAATTAAAGAAACACTACAAATTAAAGAATTAGGCCGGCCAATTTCCGATTTAAAAATTGAAAAATAAAGAGGAAGTGGGCAAAAATCGCGGTGTCGTAAATTTAATAAAACTATTTATGATAAAAATAATTGGTTGTGTGGTTGCGAAGAAACTAATAAACTGTTGTTGTTTTGAATATGTTTTGTTTGGAGGTGACGAGACTTGGTCAAAAAAAGACACATACGATCTTGTCCATATATGGGATAAAATGAAATCCATGAAAAATCTAAAGTGCACATGAATAATGTTTTTAGCTTTTCCATGCTTGGTAAGTTAAATATAAAAACCCAGTTAAATTCGACTTGTCGTGATGATCTAATTAACATAATCAACAAGTGGATAAGAATCGATATGTTTTAAATCAAATTATAAATTGTATAAGGTATTGTGGAGCTTTTGAATTAGCTTTAAGGGGTCACGATGAGAAAGATAATTCGGAAAATAGAGGCATATTTAAGGAGCTGGTGAATTTTAGCGCCGAATTAGACAATGACTTAAAGGTTCATACTCAACGTTCAAAAGCTTTCAAAGATACCTCAAAAACAACCCAAAATGAACTTTTTAAGTGCATGTTAAATGTTTATCACGAAGAAGTTAGGAAAGAAATAGAAAATTCTCCTTTTGTTGCAGAAATTGCCGATGAAACGACGGACGTTGCTTGTGAATTTCAATTATAGTTTTCAGATATTTGTGTAAAGGACAACCAGTTGAGAGATTTTGGAGGTTTTACATGCTCAATGGACACGACGCCAAATCAATCGCTGAATTCATTTTAAATGTTTTACATCCATTATTAAAACATAGTCCAAATAAATTAATTGCTCAAAGCTATGACGGCACGTCTGTAATCAGTGGTGGATTAAATTGTGTGCAAAAAATTATTAAACAAACATATCCTTTTGCAAATTACGTTCATTGCTATGCATACCAGATGAATTTAGTTATGACAAGTGCATGTTCTGTCAATAAGCAGAGTAGAATATTTTTTTCTAATTTACCTGATTTGTGCTCTCTCTTCTCCACGTCTCCTCAAAGAAAAATTTTTTTGGATGAGGTAGTTAATCGCAGGTTGCCAAGATATTCCCAAACACGTTGGAATTTTCAATCGCAAGGTGTTCATACTGTTTATGAGAATAGAAAAGACCTCATACAGTTGTAGACATTATGGAAAGTACTTCACGCGATTCGTCATATATTAATCAAGCAAGTGGGTACAAATTAAAACTTCAGGATAAATATTTTATATTATGGTTAAGTATTTTTCATCAAATAATGCCTCATGTGGAAGTTATTTTTAACCAATTACAAACAGATTCTGTTAAGGTTAAGAAAGATTTGGGGAATTTTGAAGCAGCAATTCACGGTATACGGGAGCAAATGGACAGCATTATTGACAATATTCAAGGCGAAATAAACACGTCGCAAGGAGAAACTGGTGACCGGATAAGAAAAAAGACACGAATTGAAGAGAACAGCAGAAAACGCGAAGCCTTAGAAATATGCGATGCCGATTTATTGCAAATAAAAACAAGGTTCAACTTCTCTGGGCATTTGGTCGCTTCTAATTTATGTCGGAGAAATTTTCGGTCTATAGGTATCAGTTTTCCGAATCATTCCTCAATGAAACATGTATACAATTTTCATGTTTAGGCAAAAATATGCTTAAAAATGAATTACAAGTACTGTATCAGAGAGACGAATTAAGTACCACATCCGGAGCTGTCCCGCTCTCAATTTTATTGAATGAGGAAGGTTTAAATTGTACATTTCAGGAAACTCTTAAACTTTTAAGTATTTTGATAACAATACTTATGTTAACATCTGAGGCAGAGCGCTGTTTTTCAATGCTTAAACGGATTAAAACATTCCTCAGAAATACAATGAAGGAAGAAAGACTTAGTGCTTTAGGTATGTTGTCCGCAGAAAAACATTTTGTAAATGGAATTGAAAATTTTAATAATAGAAGTAATTGAAAACTTTGCAACCAAAAAAAGAAAGAAGAATGGACTTCATTTATCGAAAAGCGATTTTTTGAAATTTTGTGGGTTACGACGTTTTGCACTTAATCCATCGATATGGACCTAAAGACTCTTTATGGTAATAACAAACTGTAAGGACTTTCAGCATTAATTACTGGGGATAAGTTAATTTATAATTTTTAATTAATTTTACAGAGTTCTTTGATAAGTTTTGAGTAATTTATTGGCAAAGTTTAGGATAAGACTAACCCTGACGGCCTATTTCGTGGCAAAACTTGTTTTAGAAACCTCATAAATAGTGGTCATATAATAGATATAAAAGTATCCGTCCTTCGTTAATTTTTTTAATTAACATTTTATATCTATTTTGACAATACCATGATAAATTTTTGCCCAAAGCCAGTTTTTTAAACGACTTTTGGTTAAAAATTTGGGCGTGGCACCCCAAAAATATTTTTCGTCTCTGGTGGGGGGTCTCCGACAGAGCGCCTTCGGCAGGGTTTTCACATTTGTTAAAAATCTGGCACTATCATCTCGTATTATCACGAGCCGCCACTGGGTATGACACTATTATTTTGTTTAATATTTTTGGTAATTAAATTTGTATCAGTTGATTTCAGTAGTTCACTTGTACCACATTATGATCACGATTTTTAGAAGAAAAGTCCCAATATATCATGTTTTTGTATTTCTGAGAATTATTATCTGAATATAAGTTGTTTTCAGTAGTTCATTTGTACCATATTATTCTCACGATTTTTAGAAAAGTAGTTCAAATGTATCATTTTGTATTTCCGGTATTTAACTAAATATCATTTAAATTCAGTAGTTCATTTGTATCACATTTTAACGATTTTTAAAAGAGCAGTTCAAATGTATCATTTTCTTGTAATAAACTAAATATCAGTTGACTTCATTTCATTTGTATCACATTATGCTCAAGATTTTTAGAAAAGTAGTCCTAATATATGATCGTTTAGTATGTCTGAGAATTATTAACTGAATATAAGTTGATTTTAGTAGTTTATTTGTACAATATTATTCTCACGATTTATAGAGAAGTAGTTCAAATGTATCATCATTTAGTATTTTTGGTAATTTACTGAATATCAGTTGATTTTAGTAGTTCATTTGGACCATATTATTATTACGATTTATAGAGAAAAAGTTCAAATGTATCATCATTTAGTATTTCTGACAATTCACTGAATATCAGTTGATTTCAGTAGTTCATCTATTACCCATTATTCTGAAGATTTAAAAAAAAAGTAGTTCAAATGTATCATCTTTTAGAAATTCTGGTAATTAACTGCATATCAGTTGATTTCAGTAGTTTACTTGTAACACGTTATATTCATATTTTTAGAAACAGTTACAATGTATTAACCGAAAATAATCGATTAATCTAAAACAATCGATTAATCTAAAATAATCGATTACCGATTAAATAATATCGACTCATCAATAAACAATTAATTCATTATTTTGTCCACTCCTAGATGATAATTAACTAGGTACACTTAATACTAACCCAAATAAAAAAAAAACATTTATTAATATATTGTTTTTAACATTTTTTTACGCTATAATTATTTTATTTTAAAAGCAAGTTAGTGTGACTTTGTGATTCGTTTATAATCGATTAATCAAAAATAATCGATTATTTTCCCACCCCTAATCGCAGGTACTTTGCTATTGGGATAAATACCTATCTACCTTGTAGGTATATCAATAATAATAACCCCCGTAGGTACTGATTCTTTAAGTTAAAATTTAATAGTTTTAGCTTATGAACGAGCACTTTTATTCCCTTCTCTATTTTGTATTTTTATTGGAAGTAATCCCGTTAAATAAATAAAAATATTCCCATGAAATAATCTATATAAATTTGACGTTTCTCAATTTAAACAAAAAACCGGCGTCTTTCCGATGTCAATTATTGCAATTTTCAAAGATAATACCACGTAATGAAACTCGAACGCGCCAAAGTGTGTTTGTCTTAAATCAACGTGCAGTGCAATTAACTGCAATAATTTTTTTCGTGCCGTTAAAAAGAAGAAACTAATAACGGGTAATAAAAACGAAGCGTGCCCGTCACTTTTGCGACCGCAACGTCTCTACCGCAAACCCATCAACATTTATTGTTCTCGAAAACGTTGCTAAATCATATCAACGATCACAACAAATAAGACATTTGTTTAACGTACCCAGGAAATGGATAAATCTTAATATTTTGTATCCAAAAATCTCTATTGTTATACCTACTACACTGGAACAAAATATTGGAGAAGGTGATTCATCACTGGGAGGCTATTTTCAAACTCTCTCACGAGGAATGTCATACGTCAATGTAAAACACTATTTTAGGGCTCTTAGGGCCAGTGTGAATTCAATGACTGTTTCTTTCGGTTTATTTAGAGAATTAAAATTCTCCTAAGAATTTTAATCCTCGATGCCTTTAAAAACAGCGTTTCCACATTGATGTATGACATTTCTGATGAGAATCTCGAAAGAAATGAGTGCTCCCATACTTTGAAAATACAATACGTACGTACAATCATCGTACTATACCGATCCATAGCCCTCAGAAAGTCTAGATACCGCTTGGCGTATACTGTCAATACAAAAAAATGACCCCATTCAAGCTTGTCGCCATGTTAGGTAAATTTATGTTTTGGCTACACTGATTTTTAGTTTGTGTGTTCTGTAATACGTGAACACCGATAATCTGCACTTTGTTATTAGTTATAAGTGAGTGAGACGCACAATTTCTAATTTCAAATTAAGAACAAAACTTTGACAAACCTATTTGATTTTCCTAGATCTGTTCAGACAGGACCGGTTTTATAAAATTTCTCGTTCTTGAAATGTTATTTTTACATGGTTATATATTATTGGATAAGTGGTTTGTGTACATATTGCTATGAGAATTATAGAGAAATTCAGTGAGATTTATGTAATATAATTCAAATTACAAGTAAACCATCTGTTATTGTTTGGCAATATGGAGAAAATACCTACTTCAATGTCAAATGTACTATTTAAAAGAATGTGATTGTTAAGCGGTCATTTATTTATATTATGAAAATAAAAACTCGAATTTTTTAACTAGGGAAAGATATACTTACATCGGTAATAAGGTATTTTTAGAAAAACTAATAGATTACTCCTATTCCTATAGTTTATTTGTAAATGAATAATAGCAAAATTATATAAAAATATGGACCTTTGCCATAAAAACTGTGCTACCAAGCATTTTCAAATAAACTATAATGATAATTTGATTTAATAGAGCGAGTATAAGATCTCACCTGTTAGAGAAATTGGGGCATAGGGAAGAGATTATGAAGCAGGTAAGCAAAGTCATTGCAAAAGATAAATATATAGAAGTTATTTTAAAAATTTGATAAAAAACTAGTGGAACAACAAATGGAGTTGTCGCTATCGGTGATCCAATCAGCAGAAAGTAAAAAAAAAAACTTTGGGAATGTTGGAAAAGGGCACAGCAATAGGCCCAAAACAATTCCTTGGTTTTTTAATAAATATAATCTGAGATGCAAAAAATACTACTAGAGTGGAGAAGCAGTATTGTTCTAATGTAGAAAACCCAGGGACATACAGCAGTGCACTAACCATAGGCGAATAGTCACTAAATTATACAAGAGTCCCATCTCGATTTTATTTTTAAATATTTTTGAGAATACCTATTATTATTTGTTACATTGAGTTTAATAAAACCGCAGATTTCGAATGTATTGAAAGTTATTTAAAAAGTACCTCTATAAATATATAGAAAATGTGTATATGACTAACTGGTTTTATTAATCTTTTTTTGGGGTAGGTAAATATATTTTGAAAAATTTACAAACTTCTTTTGAATAAAAGACAAAATATTTCTGTTTTTATTAACTGAACAATATTTTATACAAACATAATATATACCTATTTAAAAGAAAATATTACATTTTACAAGTATCGCATATTTATATGAAATAACTTACTCAATAAGAAAGAATTAAATAAAACAAATTAATAAACAATGGATATGAAAAATTGCTTTAACAATTAGATAAACTTATTCTTCCATATTGCTTTAATCAATTTATTTACTATAAAAGTATATTTCCTATCATTTATTACATATAATAAAATAAAGCATAAAACATACAAACTATAATATGTACCTACTTAGAACGGAACTAATATTATTGTATCAAGGTAGTAATAGTGGACATTTTCCGAATAAAAAAAGTAAAAAAGAAGTAACGGTCGACACGTTTTTCTGACTATTGGTCTTTATCAGTACGGTGCAGCCAAGTTCAAAGGATCATGGACCTTGTGTTGGAAAAATTGTACAATAGGTCACTAACAAGGAGCCAATAACACATTTGCCGTTTCAGCTAGTATCCCCAAATTTTCTGGGCTTATACTAAAGTCACAAAATGATTCAATGGTTTTCCTATGGCTATCAGTTATTATTTCCTACCATTTTTTGGTATGCTACAACAAAACATACAAATTATTTGATTTTGTAAATACACAAATATTTGTGAAAACTTACACAAGAAATGTTATTCCTTCCTTGTATCTTCTACCGTTAGATGCATTGTTACATTCACGTACAAAACAAAAAGAGATTTTGAAAATCCTGTAAAAATTTAACACCAAACCACAAATGTTTTTTATT